TTATCGACTGTGCTTTGGGGGTCTTATGTAAGAAGTCTTTCCCTGTCCCGATGTCTCCCAGAGTTTCCCCAGTGTTTTCTAGAAGCAATTTAATAGTTTGGGGTCTTAGATTTAGATCCTTGATCCACCTTGACTTGATTTTTGTCAAAGGTGAGAGGTAGGGGTTCAGATTCATCTTTCTACAGGTGGAAATCCAGTTTTTCCAGCACCATTTGCTGAAGAGGTTTTCCTTTTCCCACTGGATTGACTGGTACCCCTTGTCAAAAATCAGTTCACTGAATGATTGGGGATTTATTCCTGTGGAGTAACGGAATCTTAAGAACAAGTGGCAAGAAACCTCAATGTGGACAGTTCCCAACAGGAAAGCGAAGGAGAGGAGCAGGCTCTTTGCAGAAGAGGAGTCCATCCATTTTGGGAGGATGGACAAAGGCCAGAAGCCTGGTGGAAATGCCAGGCGGGGCTGTGTTAGGTGACTTGTCCCTAACTTTCGATGGGCCATACCTGATAGGAAAATTAATCACAGTGACGTGGGAGACGATGTAGAAAGGTTTGTAGGGCAGGCGGTGGAAATCAGGAGGAAGACCAGGGACCAGCAGTTGAGGCAGTCTGCGCTTCCCAACTCCGGAACCTGATGGTCGACTTTTGTCTCGTGCCTGGAATGCTGAGATTTTCCCAGGGACTCATAACTTGGCTGCTGCTTTACAGCCTTGTATCTTTGTGATTTATTTTTCCATCAACCTTTTGGTGTTTCCATTTACAGTTTCTAATTGAATATTAAAATCATTTTTTCTCAGTTTAAATGTTTCTATCAGCAAGGCAAGTTCACCCATTTTCAGAAAAAAATGTGCTTTTCACAATTTGAAATTAATAGAAGAATTTAAAAAGAAAAAATATTTTATGTAATCTACTAATTGATATAGTCTACAAACAAAAAGTTTCTGTAAAAATGGAGTTAATGTACACTTTTATTTTGGTTCAAAAAATGTTTGAAATCCATACATAGTTTTTTCAAAACGTGCATTTTTCATGACCCTTTTGGAGACCCTGGCTGGCATATTGTGAGCCCTGTGCGGTGCTGCCTGCCCCGTGTCATGGCTGAGGTGCTGAGCTGGAATGTGCATGACACGTCCGCTGTCACTCAGCCAGCGGAGGCAGGACTGAGATTGGAATCCGAGTTGCTAGAACTGAGTCCTGTGTATTTAATCAAATTACTGACTTTTAAATGCAAGTAGATTTATAGTTTAACAATTTATAGATAAAACTTTTTTTAGCGACAAAAAGAACTTTTAGACTTACTGTTCTCATAGACAGCATTGGTTTTTGGAAATGAGCTATCCTGCGTGTGTGTGTGTGTGTTGTCTTTTATATTCCTAATGAAAGTACCATTTCAGCTGCTTACAGAGAATCTCCAGCTACTGGAGTAGCTCAGAATTTTAAATACTACAGGTATGTCACGGGTAGTCATTTTGAGCAGCCTCCAGTCCTGAGCTAGTGCGAGTGGGGATCAGTAACAGTCGGTTGGTGTCCGCGGGGGCAGGCCAGGGGTGGGGACAGGGCCAGAAGCCTCCCGAGGCCAGGTAGCTCTTACCTGCGGAATTACTTACTGGCTGTCCTGCCTGCTCTTCTTCCCTAGGCAGAAGGTTATGTCATTGGAAGCTGCATCAAACACATCCCAATTGCAGGTAGAGATATTACGTATTTCATTCAACAGCTGCTAAGGGAGAGGGAGGTGGGAATCCCTCCTGAGCAGTCACTGGAGACCGCAAAAGCCATTAAGGTAAAAACAGATGGGAAACTGGCTGGTTTGGGGGTGAGAGCGTGGTGTCTGGACGGGTCCCTGTGGCGCCACCCTGTGCCCCCCCTTCCCCTCCCCCATGAGCGTGGACCTTTGTTCACACCTGAGCGGAGTGGGCTGCCGACACACAGAGGTGCTCTGCTGAGGCTCCCGCTGTACTGGGCTTGGACAAGCCCACGTGTGGCACGCCCCTTGGTTGGAGCCTGACCAGGGCAGACACAGCCCCAGAGACTGCAGTGCCAAGGGGAGCCTGCCAGTCTTCATGTGCATTTCCTGTGGTTTTCACGTGTAGTTCTGTGCCCTGAGGGTAGGCCCTGAGTCATGACATCTGGATCAGAACTTTTCATCTAATTCACCTGCATTTTCTAGACTCCAGCTACTGTGCTAGAAAAATGGCAGGGAATTTTAGGATAGAAGCAGTGAGATTAGAAGGAAATGGCTTATCAGCCCTTGTTTAATGTCTCTTGACTGGTCCAGCCACTAGCTAGTCTTTGTATTGCTCGGTACATGGCAGTCAACGGGCCCTTTTTAAAGGAATTTTTCTTCTCAAGTTGGAAAATCAGGGCAGTTTTTAAAGCCAACATGCAAGGCATCCTCAGTGACCCAGCGGTGATTCTTACACAGATGAAGGAATGATTTTGGTGTTTTGGAGAAAAACTTAGTGTGGGGTGTGCTATGCACCTTTGGCATCTTCTCATAAAACACAGTATTTGAGTTGCCAAGGAGCTAGAGGGGGTGAGCCTAACACCCTCTTCTCCATGCTGCTTCCTGCCATTGGTGCGTCTTGTGACTGAGGTGGCTGGTGGACACGATGCAGCAGAAATGCTTCCTGAGTTTTGCATGATGCTGTTGGTAAAGACAGGCGTGTTTAGGTTGAGGCACTGGGGTAGGGCCGGCTCTACTCCATCCCAGCTTAGCCCAGACCGGAGTGGGCAGGGATGCAGCTCGCAGTGCTAAAATGGTGACGTCCGGGGTGAGCCAGTTACAGCTGGTCCTCTCCCTGGGGCAGAGGCTTCTGGGAGTGTCATAAGACTGTTCTTGTTAGACCAAAGTATTTCTCAGGGTTTTCCCTCCCCCCTTCTTTTTCTTTCTTCAATGGAATAAAAATCTGGGTGTTGGATTCCAGCTCCCTTGCCACCCTAGATCTGTTTACAAACGAACATCGGAATTGGAACTTGTGTTGATGCCCTGGTCAAGCTGGTGTGTTGAGATTCCCAGGTGACACTCTTGGTCCTCACGCTGGGCACCATCACTGGCTGTCTGAGTTATAATCCCCACCCTGACCTCTGAGCTGGCACGTTCTGGCAACGTCTGGGCTGGTGGGAGTAAGAGGCACCTCTTCGGGCTGGCTGCCCTGACCGACCCACGGCATGGCTCAGCCCTGTTGGTTCTCACCTCACTCCTGTAAGGGGAGATCCTGGAGTAGAAGCCGCAGTCACTCCAGGGTGTGCTGCTGTTCCCGTGGGCACCGGCAGGCCGCAGGTTGTGCACTGGGCACGCCCTCTTCGCAGTGTGAATCCAGACCCTCAGGGCTGACCCTGCCACTCCGTGTCCTGCTTTGTGGGAGCATTTCATGTTGCTGTGAAGCCTGTTGCCCTGCCTGGGCCTTGGCCAGCCTCTGAGCACAGCTGAGTCCTGGCCTCCAGGTTGGGTAGATCCTCAGTGGACACAGGCTGGGTAACCATGCTTGACCTTCAGTCTTGTCTGTTTGCTGGAGTATGCTAGAGATATCCAGAAGATGGTGTTAGAATATGTCCAGAGATCCTAAGAAACTTTAATGATAGTATCACAAAACCCCTACGGAGGTCCTGGAGGGAGCTGCTCCTTCGTGTGTGGGGAACAGCAGCTGGCGCGGATGCTTTGGAGACAGCTCACCCCAGCAGCTGGTGCCCGGGCGCCACCTGCTGCTCTCCTGAGGTTCACTCTGAGGACAGATGACCAGCACAGAGACCCCAAGAGCGTCAGTGTCACCAGATGTCAGGAAACACCTTGTATACCACAGTCGCATTGCCAGTGCCACAGTGGAAGCCACGAATAAGCTCCCTGGCAGCAGCAGTGCATGGGCGACTTCAGTTCTCTGCTGGACTCAGCTTTCTCTGTCCCATGCACTTGTCACCTTAGAACATGGCTCGCCACTTACTGACTTGTGACGTTTGCTTACCGTCCAAGTCGGCAGGCTGTGCTCACGCAGGGGCCCGCGTGTGTCTCGCTCACTCCATAGCCCTGGTGCCTAGATGCTCAGTGTTGAGTGAGCACCTTGGACAGACTGGGAGGCTGGGGGCCAGTGCTGCGTCCAGCCCCACACCAGGTGAAGCCCTTTCTTAGTGTCCCGGAGTCACTCAGCTCGTCACGTGCTGGGGCCCTGAATGTGGACATGGCCACATTCAGCAGGTCGGGCTGCAGTGTAGGTCTGCAGGCCCGGGGAGGGTGACAGTGAGGTGGCCCGGGCAGGTGCTGTGTGGAGAGCCCAAGGGACACAAGGAAGGGCTGGGTGGAGACAAGGTCCCGATACCTTGTGGACTCCTTTGGACGTGACTTCATTCACTGCAGTGAGTGTGGTAGGCCAGGCTGAGAGTACCAGCCATGTTGCTGAGGAGGCAGACTCACCTGTCCACACTCCAGGTGTAACCTGCCCACCCTGAAAGGTGGTGGGCGAGACGTGAGACATGTCCACACTGGAATTAGGGTGGGCAGAACTGATTTCTCGGATGTGTCTAATGCATGGGGCTCCTGGGTATTTGTCAGAGGACAGACCTGGGTACTTGCTAACGCACGGCGACATCTTTGTGTGTATACAGGAGAAATACTGTTACATTTGCCCTGATATAGTTAAGGAATTTGCAAAGTACGACATGGACCCCCGGAAGTGGATCAAACAGTACACGGGTATCAATGCGATCAACCAGAAGAAATTCATTATAGACGTTGGTTACGAAAGGTTTCTCGGACCCGAGATATTCTTTCACCCTGAGGTAAGATGTCCCTTTTCGAGTTGCAGCATGGTGTGCGTGGAGAACACCTCAGCTGAGGTCTGGCCCGCGAGCTGCAGCTCTCAGTCACCTCTCTGTAAATTCTGTCCCCTCCCCCTGGGTGTAGTTCGTCTGTGATTGACCGCTGGTCTCTCTCTATAGACTTGGTTATCTGATTTAGTAGTTAAGGATAGATTATACCCTAAGAGGTTAGGGGGAAGTTTTAAGAAAGTGGAAGACAGGGATTTGAAGTCAACCTCCAAGGGGCAGGGAAGAGGCACCTGTGAATGTGAGAGCGTGTGTGTCCCCAAGGCTCTGCACAGGTCTCCACACAGAAGTGGGGGGCAGGCACCCCTCTTCCGTGACTGTCCTTTTCAGTCCCAGTCCTAACCCAGGACGGTTGGTCCTGCCGGACTGCCACTGGGGAAGCTTCTGTGTGAGGCTGGCGCCGCGTGATTCAGATGGTGTGCGTTACAGGTGTCTCATTTTAACTAGAGGTCACAGGACTCACTCACACCTGTAACCGTTCAGAGGTAACTTTCTGAGGATTACATGCAGTGCATCGCACTCGTGCTTTGGCGTGTTGTCTGACCTCATTCAGTCCCCAGTGGCCAGGGTTGTGGGTCGCGGCCCGCCGCCTTTGTTTAGGCACATACGTGAGCCTCCTGCTGGGAGGTGGTCCAGCGCCAGCACCTCGCCAGTGTTAGAACGCATGCTGCTAAGACTGGATGGGCCACACAGAAATACAGAAATCTGGTGGACAGTCGTGCTCTGACAGTGTTGACCCAAGATAGACGCCGAGCTGGCGGTGTCCAGAGCGTCTGAGTGGCTGGCTGTGGCCCCTCCTTTCTCTGAGATAATTGCTGATTAAAGCTTCCCTGCTTTTATGTGTATTTTGGATGTAATGTGATTGAGTTGAATTATTTGTACCTTCGCTTATTTAACTTGTGGAATTGAACATAAGGCTCAATATCATAACGTTTTTTTTTTTTTGAGAGATATTTGCTATAGGGCATGTGTGCTTGCTGGACAGACAGAGACAGACAGAAAGTGAGAAATCACCCTTAGGGAGGATGGCCACACCGCGATCCCTTTTCCTTCATTCCCTCCTTGGGATCTTGGGCACGCACGCACACGCACCTGGCATGAGTTTTAAGCTGCCAGATCCAGGACTTGAACCATGGTTGACTATGTGGGAGTCCAGTGACGTAACCATTATGCCATCTGCTGGTCCCAGTACCATGATTTTCTCGTGGATCATTTCATTTTGAGCCTCCATCATCAAACAAAACATCCCTCCCATTTTCTGGACCACGTGGAATTCATCTTTCTTCTTCTTCTT